ACAATTTCTTTGTAAACTTAGGAACTAAGTTAGCTTATCTCCATAGTCCTTTACAGGTTTTAGGATTCTGTGTTATGATTATAAAATACTTCATGCTTACAAGATGAAAAGATTATAGAGCAGAATTCTGTGAACTTTTTTTTCTGAAAGAAATTACTTACCAAAAAAATTTGTAACCTTGCCTTAGAGGAGAAAAATACTGACCTCCTAAATGGAATTCTTAACAATTTCATCACATATTTCTAAAGGAACACTCAACTAATTTCACTTCTTAGAAAGAATCAGCATAAGACCTTTACGAAAAAAAGAAAAAAGAAAATGCAGCTATTATGTAATTTCGATCTTAAAGTTTAGAAGTGGGTAATTATAGTTCTTTGGCTTTCATTTTCCATTTAAGCCCTTTAAAGTTCACTGAAAAATGTAAATTATGCCATCGAGCCATCTTGAGCTCTTCAGGTTTTTGTGATATAATAACTAAACAAGAAAGCTTTTCCTCCGAAAAAATATTGATTTTAGTACAATTTTCCCTTTCTTGAAATGTTAGAATCTGAATTCTTTAAGGTAGGAGGTATTCCAATATGACAAAATACATAGGAACATGAAATACCAAGATAAAGAACGAGTGTAAGAGAGGAAGAAAATAAAGGGGGAAAGAGGAAGGTGAGAAGGAGAAAAGGTGAGTTACCGTGATGTTGCCCTAAGGAATATATATTTTATAATAAAGAATTTCCAAAAGTAAAATTAAGTGACCGCAATGATATTTTAGAAGAAACCAATAATGGGGACAAGACACATTATTTGTAAGCCCTCCAAGAGCGGCTCTGGGAGAGGCGGGAAGGCTGGGATCAGGCTTGCTGACATCTCATGATACTTAGTCTTTTGGTCTGTGATTCACTGCAGCAGACTCACAATGACGAGAAATGGATTTTTATACTGTCCATCCAAGGTTCTGACTCAATGTAGATGCTGCTAGTTATCCCTGCATATCTAGCTTTTCTTTTTTCTTAGTAATGGAACTGATTTTAATTGGTGGAAGCCATGTATACAAATAAATAGAAAATTCTCCAGTCTCCCTTGAAGCTAGGTATGATACGTGATTGGCTATTGAGTTGTGGTAAATTATGGCCATTGAATTTAGACAAAACTACTTATTTAGATTAGCACTGATTTTCCAATTGTCAGGGTAAATAGGTCTATTTCCTATATGTTGGCTCTGAAGCAATTCACTTTATTTTCCTGAAACTCTGTCCTTCCTTAGCTTTCAAAACTAAATTGTTTTTTCCCCCTAATAGTTTAGTAACTCCTTTCAAATCTCTATTGCCACTGTTTTAGTTAAAATCTCAGTAATCTCTAACCTGTGCTACTGCAGCAAATTCTTAATTACCGTCCCAGCCTCTGATTTAAATATAACTTTAGTTTGTTATGCACAGAATCACCATATTTTCTTTAATTGCTTTGAGCTGGCATAAAATATGAGAATATGAGGTAGAGAATTGGAGAATAATTATTATTACCGTGACTGTGTTATTCCCAGGATGATGTAGACAAGAGACTTCAGGAACGGTGAGACATGACATAATAAATAAACCTTTAAACCCATGCATATATATTCATTAATTTTTGACAAAGGGACCAAGAATATATAACGGTAAAAGGATAGACTCTTTAATAAATGTATTGAGAACACTAGATAGCCACATGCAAAAGAATGAAACTGGATCCCTTTCTCATACCATGTAACAAAATCAACTTAAAATGTATTGAAGACTTGACGGTAAGACCTGAAACAGTAAACTCCTAGAAGAAAACATAGGAGGTAAGTTCCTTCACACAAATGATTTTTTTTGGATCCAACACCATAGCAGAAATAAACAAGTGGGATTATATCAAACTAAAAAGTTTCTGCACAGCAAAGGAAACCAACAAAACGAAAAGGCAAACCATGGACTAAAAAACCTTATCTTGGGATCTCTTTCCTCTCATTCACTATACTCTGGACATCTGACCATCTTCCACTTCTTCCTGTACATCAAAGGTCCTGAGATTTTTTTTCCCTACCTCAGGACCTTTGCACATGTTATTTCACTCAGCCCCAATCTTTTCCCCTTTGCCTATTTGTCTTATTTTCTGGGTCCTCAGTAGTCCTTCCATGTTTACTCAGTTTAAAATAGATGTTCCATGTTATTCTTTTAGTGGTCTCACTGCACCATAGCACTTGTCAGAAGTTGTAATTATGCATTGTTATGGGTAACCATGTCCCCTCAAAGAAGATATGTTGAAGTCCTAAACCCCAGTACCTCAGAATGTGCTCCTATTTTAAAATAGGGTCTTTATAGAGATAATCAAGTTCAAATGAGGTCTTCAGGGTAGGCCTTAATCCATTACTATAGTGTGCCTGTGAGGAGAGAATATTTGGACACAGAGACAGGCACTCATTGAAGGAAGACGATGTGAATATACACGGGGAGGAGACAGCCATGTGACTGGAGTGGTGCATTACAATTCATAGAACACTAAGGACTGCCAGAAGATAGGAGAGACTAGAATCCTTCCCTAGAGCCATCGAGGAGAGGATGGTCCTGTTGGCACCTTGATTCCAGACTTCTAGTCTCCTGAACTGAAAGACAATAAATTTCTGTTGTTCTAAGCCTCCTCGTTTTGGGTACTTTATTATGGAAGCCCTGAGACTAATGCATGCACTAATTGAGATTTATTTATTATTTATGTATGATGTTTGTCTCCTCATAAGACTTTTGGCATACTGAGGGCAGGTTATATTTATTTTACTTATTATTATAGTTTATAGTAGCACAGATGATGGTCTCGGGCACCTGTTAGCAGTGTTATATTTGTGGAATTAGTGAATTATCAAATGAGTAGATGTACGGATGGTGATATTTGAATGCAGAGAGTTTCAAAAGATTTTTGAGTCTATGGCCATGCCACCCTGAACAAGCCCCATCCCGTCTGATCTCGGAAGCTAAGCAGGATCAGGCCTAGTTAGTACTTGGATGGGAGACCACCTAGGAAGACCAGGTGCTGTAGGTGTAAACATTTTTAAAAAATAAAGGATTATAAGCTGACAAGGTCCTTGCAATTTGTGAGGTCAACCAAGGGATGCCTCGCCTAAAAAAAAAAAAGAGTTTTGAATTTCAGATTGTTCAGATAAACCACTTAAAAGCAATAATTTAATCTTAAAATCGTAATCATAATACTTCACGTAGGAACAGAAAATCTTTTATGCATAATTATCAAATGCCTCATTTAACTAGCTCTGATTAGGTATTTAAATTGCATGTTCTGGGATGATTTCCCTCAAAATGAGAAAGCATTGTTCTTCTGATCTTACCAAAAGATTACCCTGTCATACTTTAGAATAAAAAATACAATCTCTTCAATCTCCATGATTTACATTAAGAGAAATATAAACAGGAACTATGGAAGTTCAATTTTTTTTCCCTTTTGAACTTATGTAATTATGGCCTTAAAGAGTTACACTAGCTAAAGTGATGATAAACACACACACATAGCTGCCCCATTTGAAAGGATCTCATTGCTCAATAACCTTATGAACACAAACATGAACACATTTCAAATCTGGGAGAATGGTAATACATGAAAAGAAGGGAGGACCATAAACAATAATAAGAATGCAGTTGGGTTCCTACTCCAGTGATTTCTAATTCATGTCTTTCTACTAATTACTATATACATTCACACACCACACATGCATACACACACACACTCATGGACATAAATATGCACTCAACTACGTATCTATATCTATATTCACATATATGCATCATATTCTGAACCTTTCTTAATATTATATACCTTAGTAACCATCATGCCCATTAGCTTGTTTTCTCTCAGGATATCCTGAATCCACGGATAGTCTGGAAGTTTTGAGTAACAAAGCTGATGCAGAATTTAATACTTTTTTTTTTTAGTCAAAGTAAGTAGTCAAAGTCAGCTGTGTATAATTTGTCCTTATACTTCCCAGCAATGTAGATCTGGCAGACTAATTTCCCCTTTCCACAGATGGGAAATTGGGGCCTATAATACTTAAGTAACAAGCTCAGAATTTTAAATGCTAAAATGTCTTTTCTTTTTACAGTATGCTCAGAATTTAATTCTACCTCTAATGACTCTAAGAGTTTATCCAAAGCCATGATTAAATGCACAGGAACATTATTTCTATATTTATAAGCTAGACGTCAGATTTGGGGTGCCAGAGAATCTGTTTCTGGACAACTTTCATTTCTCTATGAGGTTAGGCTGCTCTTGGTTCCCACTGCTATAACCCTACATCTGGTTTTCAAATAGAAATTAGCAAAGTTTCTTTCCTACTTTCCCCAAATTAGCAAAGATTATATAACCAACACATTCAGTTTTTAAATATAGCCATAAAATGAATTTATGATCAATTTTACTAGAACATAAGCCTCAAGAATGAAGTGAGTGTAGTGTCTTTTATTTTACTATAGATCACAAACACCTACAATTATGCCTTACAAATAGTAGACTTTAATAAATAAATGAGAGAATAACTTTGATAAACTGTATACATTAAAAAGTAAAAGCTAGATGTGAGTTGTGAAGACCACATAAAAAATACCAAAAACAATTTACTAGTGGGAATATGATTGTTTAAGAATTTTTAACTAATAATTCAAATAATAATTTAAATCTACCTTGGTGACTTTTTAAAAAAATATTGTGGAAAGCAATTACTTAATTTTAACAAACCAACTTTCAAACAGTTATCATTAATGTTTCATAATATTAAATCATTTTTATATTACTTCAAATTCCTAATGTCAAAGCAAACAGTATTTCAGAGAAAATAATCCTGAAATAAAGGTGAATGCATAATATATTTGTTAATATATGCTGAATTCATATTAGAATCTGCTTCAGAGGTCTGAGCTACTAGTAGAAAAGGAACACACCATAGCCAGTAGTTTCATATTAAACTTTTTATTAAAACCGAATCTTACAATATATTTTAAATGACATGTTCCACAAACAAATATTTAAGAAAAAAATTTTTATATGTAATTATTGGCATACAAATTTAAGAACATAATTAAAGCTAAGCTAAATATTTATATATATGTATATTTCAATTCATATCAATGATCTGGAATACCTGAGTTTCAAGTTGTTGGTTTTCCAGATAGTGTAAAACATTTTTCATCCACTTTATAAAGGATACAGCTCATCCAAAAAGAATAACTTTGGTTAATAGACGCTATCTCCCAAAGATCACACAGAAGTCCTTATGGGATTAAGGTTTATCTTCAGAGGTTTCTTCTGAGTGGAGGTCAGTCTGTGATGTAAGGAAGGATTCCCAGGTAGCAAGGCACTGAGTAAACAGAAACACAACATAAGGAGATCAGCAGTAGTTCAGTGTTAGTGTTAAAAGGATGAACAGACTCTTACATATCTGTTCCTAGAGCAACCTGCCCTACTCTGTCCTCCAATCAGTTTGCCAGAATCCTTGCCCTTTTCTATATATCTTAATTCTTAATGAGGAAAACTATTGCTCAATTAGGAGAAAACATATAGAAGTTTAAAAGATTAGTTGATCAGTTTGCTTAAATAATCCACTATTACCCCACTGTCAGGAGAGAAAAGAGCTCTGAGTTATGCAGGAAAAGAAGGACCATTTAGACCTGAGGAGGCAGATGTTAAGCATCTAGACAGAGGAGTGGTGATATAACCATGCCTTACTCAGATCTGAATCTCATTACATCAAGATTGAGTATGCATAAATTGATTAATCTCTATTACAGTTTCTTCGGCTATAAATAGTTAATTATAGTGCTTACCACTAAAGCACTTGTGAAAATTAAATTTACATAATTTGTATAAATCTCTATAAAGAATGCCTGGCACAAAGTAAGTGCTCAAAAAATTAGTAAATATTATTGTATGATGGTCTATTAGGATTGGGTGGTAAGATTTGATCATTAATGTGTCACAGGAAATGAAAAAGAATCAGAAGAGACTGCAGATGATGAGGACACACAAGAAAATGTGGCCTACATCATGATTTTGCCTAGGTCTGATTCTCCTAATAGCCTAGTCTCAGTTATCTGTATGAAGTTCATCTACGGAATAATTTTAATAGTTTATATAGTATATAAAGAAGAAGAAAGATAAGGATGACAGTATTTCTCATCCAAAGTAATGTGAGAAGACAGGAGAGCAACATTTTTAAAGTGGTGAAAGAAAAAATACCGTCAACCTAGAATTCTATGCCCAGCAAAAATACCCCTCAAAAAACCAAAGATGGAATGAAGATATTTTCAGACTTTCAAAAGCTACATAATTTATCACCGATAGACCAAACTAAATGTTTATTTATTTATTTATTTATTTTAAAAAAGGTCGATCCAGCAGAAAAAAAATGAGACCAGATAGCAAGATGGGTCCATACAAAGGAATAAAGAGAACTAGATGTGGTAACTATATAAATACATATATTTTTTTATCACTTAAATTTATTTAAAATATAATTAACTACTTAATTAATCATAGTAACAAGATCTTATGAAGCTTATAATATAAGTGAAATATATGAGAAAAAGAGCAAAGACCAGAAAGAAATGGGAGAATTATAAGTTCTTAAATGACAGGTAAAGTGATATAATATTACTTGAAGGCAGACTGTAAGTTACATACAATAAATCTGAAAGTAACCACTAAAATAACAAAACAAAGGGTTATCCTAATACACCAATAAAAGATCTATAATGAGATCATTAATTTTCTATTAATCCAAAAGAAGACATAACAAGAAAAATGGGATCAAAGAACAGATAGAATAAAAAGCAAACAACAAGATAATAGACTCAAACCTAACCATATAAATAATCAATTTAAATGTCAATAGCCCAAATACTCCAGTAAAAAACACAGATTGTTCTATTATATAAAAAACAAGATTTACTTATATTCTATTTATAAGAAATACACTTTCAATATAAAGACACAAATACATCAAAATTAAAAGGATGAAATATATATTATATATATTTTACATGCATATATAATATATATATACAAAACATGTAACATGTCAGAAGAAAGCTGGAATGGGCTAAAGTAGATTTCAGAGCAAAGATTTTTATCTGAGATAAAGGTCATTTCATAATGATAAAAGAATCGATTTATCTGGAGGATATAATTAAAAATGTTTACGCACATAGGAGAGTTAAAAATATATGAAACAGAAACTGATGGAAATGCAAGGAGAAAAACAAATCACATCTAAAACAGATTTATATATGTCTCTTTTAAAAAATTGATAGAACATGTGGACATCAGCAATAGCATAGAAGATTTGAACTCTACTCTCAGTCAAGTTGGCCTAATTGATATTTACAAGACAAAAGAGAATACACATTTTTTTATGTGCACATACAACATTTATCAAAATAGACCATATTTCAGGCTATACGAGAAATCTCAATAAATTTAAAAAGAGTCAAGTCATATGAAGTTTATTCTCTGAACATAACGAAATTAAATTAGAAATTGGTAATAAAAATATAACTGAAAAATTCCCAAATATTTGAAATGTAAACGAGACACTTATAAATAACACTGTGTCAAAGAAGAAATCAAAAGAGAATTTAGAAGTATTCTGAACTTAATGAAAACAAAAACACGACATATAAAAAATTTTGAAATGCTACTAAGACAAGACATAGAGAAAAACTTATACTACTAAATGCCTGCATTGAAAGAGAAGAAAGATCTTAAATAAATGACTTCAATTTCCATCTTAAAAATTAAAATGCAAAACAAAACAAACAAGCAAAACCAAATTAAACTCAAAGTAAGCAGAAAAGAAAAACCCAGAAAAGATCAGAGAATGCAAGAGAAAAGAGAAAAATAATATAGAAAAAAATCTATAAAACAAAATGTTGAACTTTTAAGAGGATTAATAAAATCGATAAACTTTTAGCCAGACTGATCATAAAAGAGAGATAATACAATTTACCAACTGTTAGAAATGAAAGGGTGACATCTCTTCAAATTCTACTGAAGGAAAAAAAGAAAATATTATTATAAACTTGATACATTTGACAACTTAAATAAAAAGAACCAATTCTCTGAATAACAAAAACTACTAACGCTCACTCCAGAAAATAACAGAAAACCCAAATGAATTTGAATTTGTTGTTAAATATCTTCCTACACAGAAAACTCAAGGCCCAATTGGCTTTACTAGTGAAGTCTATCAAACATTGAAGGAAGAAATCATATTAATTCTACACAAATTCTTTCAGAAAATTAAAGACATAGAAATGCTTCCAACTCACCAATGCTAAAGACATTACAAGAGAAGAAAACTACAAACAGATACCCCTCATAAACACAGATGGAAAAATTCTAAACAAAATTTTGGCAAATTGAATCTAGCAATTTATAAAAAGGATAATACATCATGACCAAATGGAGCTTATTCCAGAAATGTAAGACTGGATTAACATTCAAATATCAATCAATATAATTGACTGCATTACATGTAATATCATCTCAATAGACAGAGGAAAGGTATTTGTCAAATTACAATGTCCATTCCTGATTAAAAAAAAAAAAAAGTTCTCAGCAAGGTAGGAATAGAAAAGAATTTCTACAATCTGAGGAAGAACATCTACAAAAAAACTTACAGTTAAACTCATATGCAGAAAGGCATTAAATATTAGCAGTTATTAGTCTTATATTTCTTTTCAATGACAAGGGGGGAAAAGAAATTAAAACCAAGCTTTATAGATACTCAAAAATCTCCACCAAATTTTGAATTTAAAAGAGAAGGAAATACAAAAATATCTAAATACAAATAACTTTTAAATATCCGTGCATGGGATTTATAAAATACAGAAAACTATTAACTGAGACTGAAGGGCTGACAGCAGAACCACCACCTCCCCTGGGAACCTCATTTCTACTAGGGTTCTCTGGACTCCTCTGCAAATCCATACACAATCTACTCCTCGGTAACCCTGCGGGGGCCCAAAGAAATTATGCTTTCAGGAGCTATCATATCTTTTTAATAACTCTGTCAAACTATCATTTATGTAAACTTCTGAATGTTAAGGTAAAATTCAAAATAAAATTCTGAGCAGTCTCTTCTATTTAGAATTCCCATCAAATAAGTGATCCAAACTGCACCAATGATGGCATAGTCCTCATGTGAGAAACTTCTATCACAGTCATAATCTGCTTTAACTATCCTAGTTTAATAAATGTCTAAGAAAGATATTCAGTAGCCATTCATGCCGATTAGTGTTGTGAATTCACATTTCCATCTCTAAAGTCAATCCTAAAAGGGATGGTGAAACAGCAAAAGGGACAAATTAGTTACTTAACTATCTCCTTACCATCCACCATGCTGAAGGCAGAAAGCAATTGATGTATTTTGAAATATAGATTACGGAACATTAGCATAGAAAAACAGAAATAACATGGCAAGTACTATATGTAGATATGAATATTTGGTCAGGCATTATAATGGTTGCTTTATTACTTATTACCTCTTTTAAATCTCCCAATGACTGTTATGAATCTTATGTTACAGATGAAAAAGCTGAGGCTCAAATGGTTAAGTACATTTAAAATAGTACAAATCTGGTAAGTGGTATAGCCAGTACTCATTCATCAACAAATGGAGCATAACCAATCTCCTGAATGACCATGGGGGTACATTTAATAAGTCACTGAGTCATCAGGATGAGATACCTTTCTTCTACATAGTGGAAGAAGGACAATCTTGGAAGAAGCATAAGAAAGGGCATGACTGCACAGACACTGGGCTGATCAAATTTTAGGAAATGCTAGTTTTTCACTTGATTCTCTACATGCCTCTTAGAAATTCTTTATCTTTCCAGGAGCACATATACCCTTTGAAGATGACTGAGTTAATACATGCCAGGCATACAGAAAGTAGTCATCCTACAAACAGATGGGACCAAGATTTATGAAGAACAAATGAGGACAAAAATAGTGTTTCTATAGATAGAGTATAGCTCCCAATGGAAGCTTCCACATTTAAGAATTGATACTTTCTCAAGCTGGTGGGATATGAAGAGGTTCTGTCCCACAGCATGACTTCAGCAAAATCTTTTCCCTTCTTTGGGCCTGTTTACACAGTCACAGCGTAAGAGGGCCTGGACTATGTGTGTCTATTAAGTTTCATCCTGGAACTAAAAGCAAAGGTTTCCAGAGGGTAATTATGGCCAAAAAGAAGCTGGCAAAGGAGATCACATACGATTTATAAATATGCCTCGCTCGGCTTGGCTTGACACAGTGTTTTGGAAATTATCGAACGTAAAACTTTACCTCGCCCCTCAGTATTTGATATTTATAATTATCATTAAAAATAATTTCCAAAAATAAGATTCATAAACAAATGAGAAATATTCTTAATGACTACTGTTACTATTAGCAGTCTACATTTATTGAAACCTTAATTATGTGCTAGGCACTGAGTTAAGGTGTTTGCATATATTTTATCCATCTAGCAGCTTTGAAACTTATTTTTCCATATTGGTGATTTCCAGTTCAAGTGAAACAGGTGGTGACTTAAGGGATAAGCTGGTTGAGACTCCAGAAAGAAATGAAAGCTTTAAAATCATTTATTTTAATGACTTACTGGAAATATTAAATTGTGCTTCTAGAACTTTTCTTTCATCTTTCTTTATTCCATTGCACACGCACATACATACATACACATACATATACATATATACACATACATACATACATACACACATACATACATATTAATATCCTAACAGAGCTATGATGTGGGTTCTATTATTTTTGGCACTATGTAGATGAAGATACTGAGGCTCACTGAAATAAATAAAAGTCTTCAAGGTCTCTCAGCTCAGAGTCACAAGTTGTACCTGTCCAATGCCAGGTCCTTAGCCACCGTGTGATAACACCAAGATAAAGTTTAATACCTCCATAGGTATTGCTATCACGCTGTTCCTGGAATGGCTAATAGAAAATTTAGTTTCATCCAAATGACCACGTAAATCAAATACACAAAATATTATCTATCTATTTCTATGATAATAAAGTAAAATAACCATAAATTTGCCTAAAAAACAATGGTACCTATTATTATAAAATGTGACAAAAGCCAAACCTTACCACATATTTCTTTTAAAACCATAAATTTCCATATTAAGGTAAAAGTTGTTATGCTTCTAGTTTTTTCCACTAATCTAAAAGTACCTTTTAGTCAGTACCATGGGAATTGCATCTCTCTTAATAAACTAAAAATAAGAACCATGCCTGAATGTCCTCTAAGTATTTTATTGCTGTCTGAAATGATCTTGGGCACAGACATCATCTATACTTGAGGAAACACTGAAGCTCAAATATGTAAATATGTCTATACGAGGCCAGTATCATTGCAAAATAAATCACATTACAAAAATTGTAGGCAGTGCCTAATATGAGGGCAATGAGGTGTGCAACATCTTAGTAACTGCTTTTTATCACCTAAACCTAAGATTCAAAACAGTAATGAAAACTTTCAGGAGCTGCATTGTTTAAAGCTATTCAATGTAATCAATCCAGGAAGAAATTAGAAATGATATTGTTGGTAGAAGCAACTTCTATTAATTTTGCAGCAGCTCAAAATTATTCATAGATTTTATTTTTTGAAAAGTCTAACTTCAGCTTCTAAGAATCACCTGACAATTTATAATTTTAGAAACATCAATAACTTCAAAGTAACAGGGTATACAGTTTTTCTAAATATTACTTTTACATACCTCTCAAGAATAAAAGTAATGTTACATTCGTAAATGACTGCAAGAGTTAATGCAAAAGGACTCATTAGTGACAAACGCCATCTTGTGGTCCATTTTTAAAAATTATTTTGTACTATTAGTCTCCATTTTAAAAAATTATATTGTACTACTAATCTGTAGATCTGTAATTCAAGATATGGAGATAGAAAAAGCCCTTGATATCATTTATTCAATTCTACTTATTTTTACACATGGGAAAATTGGGGCTCCAAAAGGTCTAATATGTTGGAAATCTTTATAAGAAAAATTAATACAAGAGCCAAAATTTGAATGCGTATCCTTTCAACTCATACTTTTTCTATATTATCATTATTTTTGACTAATAACAAGCCAATTATATGAAATGTGTCCACTTCAAACACCAAACTTATCCATGTTTGTTTAACCATATACTGAAAGGACAGAAAACTGAAAAGAAGAGCACATTTACCTTTGTATTACTGGAAAATTATCAAGGTGCAGCCATGATATTTACGTTCATTATTTTAAAGCATTTCATGTTTTCTATTTTTATTTTCCTAAAGAGGAATGTGTGTGGATGGGAGGCGGGGGAACAGGAGGAGTATCAATACCTCTATTTGGCATAGAGAGGATATGATTAAGATTTTACAATAAGCTAGTGACAGGAATCCTGATGTCCAACTTCAATTTTTTTTATTAGTAAAACCATCTTCTTTTTCTCAAAGTCTTATATCATGCACTATATGCATGTTCATGTGCGTATTTTAAATCATTTCTTTTCTTTACAAGAATAACCATAGTATACAGTCTATCATTTATAAAGTACAATAAAAGTCCTTGATTCAGAAACTATGTTTTTAGAAATTATTTTACTCTAATATGTAACCTCCTATTCAAATCCCTGATTAACTTAACTAGAGAAAAACTTATCTAATCCAAAGGATGAGAAGAGACGTATACTGTCTATGCTATGGCATAACGGTCCATTTCACACCTAAGATTAACTTTATTTGTATAGATAATTGAGAAATATTATAGCACATATTATAACAGATTGGTGGACTTGTTTTTAACAGAAGTTTTTAAGAAAGCAGAAACCTGAAAAACAACAAAACCTTTAAGACTTATATGAAACATAATAAAAGATGTCCACAGTTATGTGGAAACATGAGCTGTACTATGGCTTTTAAATATGCAATTTCAGAACAGAAATCCTTACTTAATAAAATAATAGAATAGTTAATTACATAA